CTCTCTCTCTCTCTCTCTCTCTCTCTCTCTCTCTCTCTCTCTCTCTCTCTCTCTCTCTCTCTCTCTCTCTCTCTCTCTCTCTCGTTCTCTCGCTCTCTCGGTCGCTCTGTGTGAATGTGTGAGCATGCACGCATACCTTCATGAAAAACAAAGCAAATCTCAATTTCGTGCGAGAGAGAGACAGAGAGAGTACCACAGAGAGAGAGAGAGAGAGAGAGAGAGAGAGAGAGGGAGAGAGAGAGAGAGAAAATGCCAGAGAGAGAGGGAGGAAGAGAGAGCGCGAGTGGCACAGAGAATGAAGGAGAGAGGGGGAGAGAGAGAGAGGGGGAGAGAGAGAGAGTGGCAGAGAGAATGGTGGACACGGAGAGAGAGAGAGAGAGAGAGAGAGAGTGTTAGTATGCAAGTATACCTTCAAAAATTCCCGGTGGCGTGCCACCTCAGCAGGAGAATCTTCTATGCAAGTCAGATGGTAAAAATTGACCACACAGTATTCCATCATAGATCTCGTCATCTGACGGCTGCTGTTGATTGGAGATTGGGTCGGGACGCATTCTGAAGACGACCGCCACGTAAGCAGACCTGTAGACTCTGCTATCCCCTGTGACGAAAGCAGAGAATCAGACAGAGAAGAAGGAGCAGAAGAGCTATCACCTCCTCCTCCTCCTCCTCCTCCTCCTCCTCCTCCTGCTCGATTCTCCATGCCAGCTGGCATAGGGTCCATGAAGGCCGCACTGATGTTCTCAACAGCGTCAGCGTTGTCCTCTTCAACTAGTTCACCAATGTACCCCTGCAATTGCGCCGCTTGACAAGAATACCCCTTGAAAGGAGTGACAGGGACTTCATCGTTTCTCCTACCTCTACAAACGGCCGACAAGATGCGTCCGCCATAGCCAGCACCTTCAACTCTTCTTCTTCTTCTTCCTCCTCCTCCTCCTCCTCCTCCTCTCGTGGGGTAATTAGTGTTCAGGGTTAGAGTGATCTCTCTCTCCCATTCGATCATCAAGCGAGCTCCACGTGGACCTTCGATCATCAAGCGAGATCCACGTGGATTACACTCCTTACCAGTAGTAATAAGTTTTGACGGCAACGAATAAGAGCACCAGATTTGCTGATGGTTGGTGGCATGACCGGAGAGGTCCCGATCGTCTGCCCAAAGCTGCAATCGCGTCGTCTGTCTCTGTGCGGCAGACGCATGCCACGTGGCAACGGGGTCCCGACAACGAGTAGAGCCATTATTACTAGTATAACACTGAGCTCCACTTCTGCAACTAGATGATGAAGATGATTGCGAACCCCATACACGGGGTCCCAACGAGGTTCCGACGGCACGCGCAGTCGTGCGCACAGACTGCGCGAGCATGATATCGGAGACGATGGCTTTCCCCTCACTGCGGAAGCCGGAGCGGAGCGGAGGTTGAGCGGAAGGGGTGCCCGCAGAAGCGCTCGCGCAGCTCACTTGTGGGAATGGCCACGCAGCTCCTGTCTCACACCCCGCGCAACACCCGATCGGGGCACAAAAAGACAACCGCATCGCCCTCGGAAAAGCAGGTCGTGAACACACCCTCATAACAGGCATCTCTCTCTCTCTCTCTCTCTCTCTCTCTCTCTCTCTCTCTCTCTCTCTCTCTCTCTCT